AACTTCGGTGAGTTGGTGGAGACGTTTGATCGGGTAATCACAAATTGGTATGATCCTTTCAGGCTCTGAAGAAGGCGATATCGCCGAAACGTCAGCCTAATAAAGCTTGTTTACAAACCTCGTGAAGAGTTCAGTATAACAATAAACACAATAATACAGTTATGCCGAGGTTCATAGAAAGCCGTACTTGGAACCTATAGGCGAAGTTTCATCGAGAATTAAAATTTTGAGTTTTTGGGGATGTAATAGTAGAATAGTTCTGGGGGTGTAATAGTAGAATAGTACCCATAATTCTCTTTAGGACCGTCTGCGACACATAATGATTGATCTAACCCTATTGGATGCTAGCGCCACGCGTGGTGACTTCAGCGTTGGAATGTCTGGGCTGGTTACAAGCACCAAGTCAAGTAAGCTTTATTTCGACTATTCTGCCACAAGTAAGGAAATGGAAAAGCTAGGGTTGATCCCATATCTGCTCACGGGCTGCACGAACTTTGCGTTTCCTAGTTGTCTTTGCACAACATCGCCCTAGCCGCGGCGGCGTTCGTACTCGGCATTCACCCGATGGGCGACACAAGAAGTTGACGGTAACATTTGTCGGCGTGATCGACATAACGGTAACCGATGCTAAAATGTCACACCTTTGAGGCGCTCGAATAAGCCCCTACCATTTCGCTACAACGCGCAAACTATTGAACAATCAATGAGGGATATTGTAATTTGTAAAAAAAGGTTAGATATGTTCGAAAGCCTTTTATGCACGAAATTCTGACATGAGTCATATGTCATTGATCACATTATATAACGAACTATCCCGAACTCGTCGTCCATCTGCTGACGCGGAGTATAAATGTCATCGACCAACCGCAGAGTGGGTCTTCGTCAGCAATATTCCTACCTTCCACTCTGGACGCTGACCTAATATTGTCTAAATTTGTGCAGTGATGAATGGTTCAGAAGAAGTGTCGTATTGGTACTGAACAGCCAAGTTGAGCAGGTTTTCAAAAGATCAACATTGCTGGGAAAAATCAGAGCCTGAGGGTTTATCACAGACATTAACTGATTCAGATGAAGTGTCGCCCTACCATCCGCCGTTCCCCTTCCGACTGCCTCAAAATACGCAGCGTCGAATGGCAGAAATAGCCATATCTGAATACACAGTCAATAGCCTGCTCTACCATGCACACAGGTATTTTTGCTTTTCTTAAATGTATCTTTCTCTTGTTGCGTGTTTACTGTTAAAGGCAGTGATTCCGTTCCCATGAAACAGCATCTGCGAGAAGCATGCGTTCTCATTTTCAAGATACCTAGGTTTTCCTCATCGTTTTGATCGGAAAAAGCTGCTGTGTAGACCAACGTTATGGGCAATGGGGTCGCCTCGCCGAACCCACGCCGGCGGACTGCGGTTTCGGATATCTCTGACAGCCTCCTTTAAAAGCCCTGACTCACGTTAAGCACAGCGCATTGATGGCCATTCGTGTCCAAAATCGGGGATACGGTCTTCATGGGACTCCCTTGGTGCGCGCTCTCGAAACTGCATATCTAGAAGGCTCTCAGAACATATCACTTAGAGGACGACGAACTCCTCGTGAGAAGGAAAGTATAGCAGGGAACAGAGCTGAGGCCCTATATGCAGTAATAATTCGTATCATATTGTCATATTTTTGAGAACGCTATCTCTCTCTTTTCCATCACTTCCATTTTGATGCTCAATTTCCTCAGCGAATTTATTAAGTTCTTGGTTCTCAGACTCAATTCATACGATTCTACCTAGGACAAACTCGCTCTTATTCCACGCCGACTCTCACACTCCTGGTCTCGGAAATATACTTAAGACTACTTGCACTGTTGATGAAGTGTGTCTTTCTGATCAGGTGGAAGAGGTAAGTGGATAATAAGTGATTCCTTTTCAGTACCATGGATGAACGAAAAGCAGAACCTTTCTGTTACAGATAGGTAAGGCCTACCCAGGGCAGAGGCTGGAGATCATAATAAGAACCACACAACCTCCCACGGTTCGTTTCTATCAAGGTAAGGAAGAAATTACCACCAAGTCCTATTCCTCCAACAACGATTTCGAACAGGTTCACCCGATCTCGTTAAACTTTCAATTTTCAGATGAAGCGAGGCTAAGCCTGGATGGACGATGTTTATTCTTCTTAGAAGGTACTCGACGAAAAATTGGTGTGATTCCCTTTTCGATAGAAGCCCTAATTCGACTACAAACTGTTGGATCAGTACTGAAAGGTAGTACTTTGGAGCACTGATGTTCGTTCATCCATGGTCTTAAGAATTTGACTATAAGTATTGAAATAAGCAGCTTCTACCAGTGATTCTTCAGGCCTTCTACTTAACTTACACTTGATCGTTCGATACGAATAGTTGAGGTTAACACTAAATTTCCAGTTAATAATATTACGTTCTTGAATAATTTCAGGGAGAATCACTATAACAAAGTTCTCTTTCAACAGAGGCGCTGATTTCTTTGGTTTGTCTGTCGAAGACTTAGACGGATTGCGGAAGACAACGAAAACGGCTATTGAGAACATGACAAATGGCATCCTAGGCAATGGAATCCCCTTGTCAGCTTCAAACATAGTGTAAGTGGATTTAGTACACTTCTGAAATTTCATTGTGAGGTAGGTTCTCACCAGAAAAAGAGGGAAAAGCAATTGCGACTGAACTTAGCAGAAAAACCAGATTTGAGTTCACAATGCCAAACGGATATTTTCAAAAATATATGCACTAATGGTAGTTCTTCTCAGCTCATCTCTTCGACTTTCCGCCATTCACGTCTCTGTTGCCCCTGGAGCTGCACTTCTGCAAGCCAACGTTGACCTCTACAGCTCATTCTACAACCACAGCTAACTGATTACTCAGCGGCTGGTAATGGAAGTTTTGGGACCGAAGTTTGTGGATACCTGGATTTCAACTCTTATTCTTTATTCGCTCTATGCTTACTTGTTCTCAAATACGTTTGACAACAGCACTGACAGCACAAACGGCAAGACGGGCGATTGAGCATTTTACAGCTCAGTATCTAAATGGTGTCCATCGGGTTCTTACTTTTGTTCAAATGAAATGATACGACCATTTGTAATGGTGTTTAAAGATTCTCAGGTTCATTGTTTGTCACTTCCTTCTACATTATAAATGTGCAAACCAGTTTCCCTGCATTTTGTTGTGCACAATAAGCCTCGAGTAACTATGCTTCTAGTGATGTACATCGGGTTGTTTATTACTAATCTCCTCCTTTTGAAAGTTGCTAGTGATCAGGGCAGTTTTGAGACAAAACAATGTTGTGCTTCGCAAAATATAATTATTTGTAGAGCATTTGAAGATTTTTTGGTCGCTTAGAATTTATAAAACTTCATTCTCTAACGTTTTTTTGTATTCTTCAGACTACAGAGTTCACAACTATGTATCACATAGAATGCCCAGAATAGAGCAAAACATTCGCCGTGTTTGGTGAAGTATAAGTCTTAAAAAGAAGTGAGCCTGAGGAATGGATGAGAATGTGACGAAAGAAGTTGCATTGAAGGGATATTTGGACGAGCTGTGCAAACTTGCGCACCATTGCATACAGATGGCTGTAGTAAGCTGCTTGCGTGAAAGAGTGGGTCCCGGTGCGAATGGTGCAACCTCTGCAGCTTTCGTAACGCTGAAGAAAGGTCCGCCTTGGGTGTGTACTTCGGCTAGGCTGGAGCTAGGACCGGTATTACGCCCTGTCTTGGTCACTTTTCGACCCGACTGTGTCTCGAAGGCCACATTTGGAGTCGCAGGTTCATAAAAGGGAGAAATCTATGAAACGATTTTTATTGTAGATTGTGCCGTCGAGCAAACTGAAGTGAGAGGCTCTTTCGAAGAAAAAATAGCGGTGTCCCACATTTATCCTTGAATCTCTTACAATTAGATGAGTTCACCAACAGATAATTCTGGTCTCCGATGCACAGTAGCGCAGAAGTGATAAATTCCCGTTTTTTGAATTGATTGTTCTGTTTTTTTATTTCCATTATTCCATTTCTGGATCACTGCTCATGAATTGTTCAGAAGTTTTGAAGTATGAAAACGACTAGAAGGAAATCAAATACAATTGTATCTAAGCTTGACTCGGTAAAGTTTGTTCTAATATATGTAATTTCAGCTTCAACTGGTAGAGGAAGGTTGTTCGAAGGTGGATGGCACAATAGGAGAATCTGGCTGTGATGATTAGAGGCAACAAGGCGTGCCTGCTGCCTCGAAAAAAAAATTAGAGGGAGTTGATAATGTGAGGTGGGGATGGATCGTACAGAAGCAAGCGGGCAAAACAAAGGTCACTCTTTTTCATTGAATTCCAAGTTCTCTCACCTTGAAACCTCGGCATTTCTGTTGTACTTGATATTGTTAGTTTTGCTTCTGCCTCGAGGTTGCTAGGTGGAAATCTTTATTCTGGCCAACGTTTCGATGGACTCGTCGTTTTAAGGCCTCACTTCAACCGCGAAGTGTACATAGCACTACGCTACACGGTTAGTGCATCAGTAGCGAAAGAGCGGTTCGCTATCAATCAAGTACAACAGAAGCCACTCTGCTAGCAGAAGATCGAGGCGCATTGATTTCAATGCGTCGGCCTAAGAGTGTAGAATTTCATAAATAGAAGGAAATCAACTGTTGGAAGGGGGACCACCTTAGATAATCACTGTAGCCTGATCATACGTCAAATTGCGCAAATTCTGGAGACTGGGCAAAAGAGATCCCTACACATCAGGAAACGAATGAGCTATAGCGAAGTAACGCCCTTGGCGAAGGACAGTCTCCACTCAATCACTGATGGCACGATCGTCAACATTTCACAAAGGCTTTGGATGAGGAGGTATTGCCAAATGGGTGAAAGTAGATTTGAACATTGTGTAATCTCTGGGTTAATCAGAGACGGTCCCCTGTCTGCGCTACTCGAACAATACAGAGCAAAATAACAAAAACGTAAAGAAGAATTAAGAATTTAAGCCTCTCTTAATCGATCAATTTATTTGGGCAACGTGTTGGCTGCTTCGCCTTCGTCAGGGCTTGAAATAGTGCAAAGCATGTGTGTGGCATGCTCGCCCAAACGCCTCAACAAAACTCAAACAAACTTCAAGTAGGCCAGCAAACCCTCAAAGGTATTGATCGAATGAGACATGGAGTGTTCACCTTGGAGTCCACCGCTAAGATAGGAAGACGACTACCCTCGCAGTGACTGCTGACTAAAATGACTAAAGTAACCTGTAGCACCTCCCAGTGACCTCAACAAGACGGATTATATCGGCCCGTGAATGTGTGACACAGTAACCCGAGTTGTCAGCGGCGCGCGTCGTTTGCATTGGAGCGCGGGCGGTTAATCGCTTGAAGCTTACTCTTTCGAGTACTTTCCACGCTGGGAGAAAGAAGCCAGATTTCGTTTGTTCGTTCTTTTGTTCGCTTCGTCGTGTTCGTTCATGTGATTCTTCTTGTGTTGATTTCTTTCTGATTACGTTGTGATTCTTGTGTAGTCAAGAAGGAGATTATACAAAGATAGCATGAAACCTAATGCCGTAACAAAACGAAATGAAGTTGATGCACATACTAGGAACACCGATACCGAACTGTTTGCTAAATCTCAATCGAATTTAAGAGACTATCCCACGTTCTATTCAATCACGTCGTAAAAAATCTTTAAGTAGAGACGATTCTTACCATCAAACGGGGTTACAATAAGAAATACACAAAAACTTGACGTACACAGTACATAAGCATAGAAGAATCTTATCACAAACACAGCTAAGAGTGAATCTCTGCACAATAATGGGTCGTTTTCGTAAGCAGAGAGGATAACCATGAAGAAAGAATGATGCAACTCAGTGGAGTATAGCAAAAGGCGCGACAAGAATAATCTTGCATCTCAACGTTCTCGTCAAATACGAGCAGAGAAGATGCGAGAGATGCGAATTCTCAAGGAAGTGCTGGAACGACGCAATATTGAATTAAAATCGCTGCTCAGCTCTTTGGACCACCAGGTAGCAGATTATAAACGAATGATACTTATGTAGTATCTAAGTCGGCTTCTTTTACGTGAAGATCTGTAAATGCATGTGGCTGTTTTGGAGTGTAGTTTTTTCGCAGCTTTCTTCGTGGTACTTTTTCGGTGTTGTGTACTTTTATGTCAATTATACGGTGTTTTGGGTCTGCTGTTGTGTTCAATTTATTATGCAGTAAATGCATTTAGTGCTAAAAACTTCCATGAGAAATCATGCTCAAATTTTCAGCTGTGAATAGGATGCTCGTCATTAATTTTGTTAGCTGCTAAACAAACACACAGAACAGATATTCACGGCAATGACTATCCGAAACAAAGATATTGTAGGTTAAATCCTTCAAAAAACTCACTTCTTCGAATCTCTTCCTTCCCTAACCCATTAATGAAGATTTATAAAGATTCTCAGACCTCTTAAACAAATTCCAAATAATGAAGACGCAGCTTAAAGGGGTTAATCTCCCGCGCTTCAATGCAAACAACGCGCCCCAGTGAGAACTCGGGTTACTGTGTCACACGTTCACGGGACGATATAATCCGTCTTGTGTGACCTCATCGTAGATCAAAGGTTACACAGGTCAAGGAAGGGTGCGAGTTCGCGGGTTAGCTACACACTCCTTCACGTTCATAAGGGGTTTATTAGCACATGGCAATGGTATATGGCACCTCAAAAAACAGTACCTTAAACGTTAGCGTTTTCGATTCTGGAGCTAAAAAGCGGTAATCAAAGAAAGTCTAGCCAAATAGCTAGGGCCACCGAAATACTCTACTGAGATTAGCACTATGTCTGGCATCGCAGGCCATATTGATACTTTCAAATGTGTCAGAATGCTGCCAAAAATAAATACAAAAACTTTCGGGGAAGAAGTTGAGCTCAAGATACAGGTACGATCTATAATAACGAACAGTTTTCCAAGTATCAAACTGAACACAGCAGATGTCAGATTTTTAACCCATTGGCGGCCGCGCCTTTTGAGCGTGCTTGGCGTGTGGAACCGAGCGCGCTTTTCGTGGGCCATTGCAGTGACCCGGCGAGCCACACGGTCCCAAGAGCAACCTAATTACTTATGCATCCATTCTTTGAGGTAAAGTTCCATTAAAATGTCACAGAAGGAGTGATAAGTCAAACACAAATGTACGTGATATTTGTGGATGACCTATTACTTCTTCTGATAGATTTTGATGATAGATTCTGATGGAATTTCGTCTCAAAGAACTTTCACTGCTACTTTGTTAGGCTCTACAGGAAATAGGGAACTGCTCATCTCATCTCTGAATCTCTACGGCCTGTAGGATCTAGACCCAACCAAATATTAGAAGACTTTGTCTAGACATGAGGGACGAATTTTGTGCCCAAATCTTTGAAGGATTGGTTAGAGGCAGATAGCATTGTTAAGCTAAGCCTTGTAGAGCCTTTACTCCGATACGTTTCCGGCAAACCTCTCTTTCTAACATCAATGCACAAACTACAGTGAAACGCTGAAAGAGAGCTGGAGAAGATGCACTGCACTGGGGCTCGATGCTCAATCTCGGCCTCGAGATCGTCAATCGGCGCATAGTGCACCGGGGGATATGTGGTATCACGAGGTACAATGGCTCGAGAGCCAGTGCTCCTGACCCGGCCTGGGTAACCAATATATATAGCAACTGCCTGTTTTCATAACAGCTGATAGAGAGCTGTCATAGAGCGAAGTTAAGATTCTTTCACTCTCGCATTATTGCCCTCTTTTGCATCTTACTTTCATCGTCTTTGCATTTCGTTTCTCATTGTTTGATAAAAAGTAATCGCTCTCGTTTAACGGACATAATTGCATGCAACTGAAGGATTTCCGATCGGACTCGA